TAATCTCAGTGCAGTAATATGAAGCTATTGATCTTTGAGTTTGCAAACAACACCAAGCTGTGTGGTGCGGTCAACACTCTGGAGGGAAGGGATGCAACCCAGAGGGACCTAGGAGGAGAATAATGTTGATAACACGCTGATGTTATTAGTTGTTGCCAATCAGTCAAGGACTTTTCAGCTTCTCATACTAGCCTACTAATGAGGAATTAGAGGGTGCCCAAGAAGCTGCAAGAGGACACAACTAGGATAGCTGACTCAGAATGGCGAAAGGGATATTCCATACCATATAACGTCATGCTCTGTATATAACTGGGGGGGAGGGTTGGCCGGAAGGCAGTGCAGCTTGGGAACTAGCGAGCATCAGCTTCAGGTGGTGAGAAATTATGCTGTTCATGACCTGTTCTGAATATTCTTTTATCATTGTTGTTATTGTTATTTCCTTTTCTGTCCTATTAAATTGTCTTTATCTCAACCCATGAGTTTTAATTTTTTTTCCCTTTTCAGTTGTCTCCCCCGTCCCACTGGGGAGCTGTGTGGTTGTTTTAACTGCTGGCTGGGTTTAGCCACAACACCTTATAGCAGCCTTCCAGTACCAGAAGGGGCCTACAGGAAAGCTGGAGAGGGACTGTTTACAAGGGTTTGTTGTGACAGGACAAGGGGTAATGGGTTTAAGCTAAAAGAGGGTAGATTTAGATTAGATATTACGAAAAAATTCCTCTCTGTGAGGGTGGTGAGGCACTGGAACAGGTTGCCCAGAGAAGCTGTGGAGGCCCCCTCCCTGGAAGTGTTCAAGGCCCGGTTGGGTGGGGCTTGGTCTAGTGGAGGGGGTCCCTGCCCATGGCAGGGGGGTTGGAACTAGGTGACCTTTAAGGTCCCTTCCAACCCAAACCATTCTGTGATTCTATGATTCTGTGATTCTATCATTCTATCATTCTATGATTCTCTGATTCTCTGTAGATTTATTTTGGAGAAAGCCTCTCAGCTCTCCTCATTCGCCTGCACATGCCCCCTTTCCCCTGGTGCACCTCGGATCAGGGAACCAAACTTAGCAGAAGGAAAGCTGACATTTTCTTTGGCAGATTGGCCAAGATACCCTAATGAGAGCTTTGATGAAAGTCCCCATCTTGCCATTGATCTACAAGCCACATTTCCCAGGACCCTCAAAGGAACAGCCAGGGAAAGCAAAGAGCTTTTGAAGCTCCCAGCCTCAGCACCTCTGCCTGTCCCCATCCCCAGGGAAGTGCCTGATGCCCAGGGCTGGGGCTGCCCCCAGCCCACTAGTCCCCATGGGGACCCCCCCCTGCTCCCAGCTCCCAGGGAGCAGCCACCCATGCAGTACCCTGACATGCATTTCCTTAATTGTGTATTTAGTTGCTTGTAATCACAGTTCGGATTCCCCTTTGCTCTTGTTTAAGAAATTGCTTTTATTTTAAAAGCTTTTAATTTTCATTGATCTTCATACGTGCAGGTACCAGCTTAAATTTGTGCTTTTCTTTTCCTACAACAGAACAGAGAAAAGCTAAAAAAGAAATCAATGTGTTTATTCCTGAGAAAAGAAGGATGGTAGAAAAACAAGTGCCCCCTGCCCCAACCCAACAATGTTTCTCCTCCACACTAACAGAGGCATCATACACTCCAGTGATCGTGGCCCCAAGCGCCGGGATGGCAGGCTCAGCGCAATTAGGAAAGAGTCTCTGCATGAAGCTCCCCTTGTAACTTGATTAGGCTATCGACTCGGTAAGGATTAAAAGTAAAACAGCCAAAAAAGATTGCTGTCATAGTCTTAACAGCTGGGAGTGAGGAGTTTCCTGGAGTTTTCCAAGAAGCTATGGCACAAAAGACCAGGAGATACTGGATTTGACCAAATATCCTTTTCTCTATGGTCCTGGGATGTGGTGGGATCCGTTGTCCTCACATTCTCTTCTGCTTTCCAGTGGCCCACACCGACAGGAGCAGTCCGCAGAGCTAACTCCAGGGAACCAGCCCCCAGAACTCTGCCACTGAGATTTCTTAAAGACAACTTGTGAATGCAATTGTGGCTTCTCCAGAAAAGATTCATCGCATACTATACAGTGTTCACAGGAATTTTCTCAGTCATTATTGTCAAACAAAC